CAGCAGATAGGGCCTCTAGCATCTCACAGCTTCGACAACTGCTAGCATCTCCTTTACGTACACTGATAACCCAATCGAGTCGTGCCTAGCGCCTTGCTGAGGTAGGCTAAGGGTCGCCCTTCCTGCACTAGTACGGCTCCAATCCCAATATCACTAGCATCCGTGTGCACTTCAAACAAGACATCAAACCTTGGCATGGCGAGTACTGGCGTGGTAGTCATGGCACCCTTCAGTTTCTCAAATGCCTCTTCGCTAGCCTTGGTCCATGTGAACCCTTCTTTTTTGGTCATTTCCGTAAGTGGCTTGGCAATGGTTCCATAATCCTTCACAAACTTCCAGTAATAGCCCGTGAGCCCTAGGAATCCTCGGAGTTGTGTGAGACTCGTTGGCTTAGGCCAGTCGACCATACCCTCTATCTTTCGTGGATCAACCTTCACGCCTTTGTGAGATATAAAGTGGCCTAGGTACTCAACCATCTCCTGCCCGAATGAACACTTGGACGGCTTGATGTGAAAGGTGTTAGCCTCCAAGACTTCAAGTACCACTCTCAAATGCTCCAGATGTTCAGCCCATGACTTCGAATAAACCAAGATATCATCAAAGAAGACTAGAACAAACTTACGTAGATACTCCTTGAAGATAGAATTCATGGCAAATTGGAAAGTCGATGGAGCGTTGCACAATCCGAACGGCATCACCAAATACTCATAGTGCCCCTGATGCGTACGAAAAGATGTCTTCAGAATGTCGACTTTGTGGAGTCGGATCTGATGATAGCCAGCTCTTAGGTCGAGCTTTGAGAAATAGCGTGACCCTGCCAACTCATCGAGCATGTCGTCGACACTGGGAATAGGAAATCGATCCTTGATAGTCGCGGCATTCAGAGCCCGATAGTCAGTACAAAACCTCCATGTACCATCCTTCTTCTTAGCTAATAATACTGGTGATGAAAACGGACTCGAGCTATGCTGAATTAACCCAGACTCTAGCATCTCAGCTACTTGCCTTTCAATATCAGTTTTCTGGAAATGAGCGTACCTATCGGGGTGGACGGGCACTACATGCTGCTCATTGACCAATGGTATTCTTTGGTCGAACTCCCGGTGAGGTGGTAGTCCCTTGGGTTCGCCCAGTACTCCATTGAATTCCTCGAGAAGCTCGCGCACATCGCTTTGCTGTTGCTCGGCCTGCTCCGTGTGCGTATTCTTACTCTCGACCACTACTGCGAATATTTGGCCGCCGCTTCGCCAAACTCTTTCAATACTCTTCAACCCAACTTCCTTGGTACCTTTTTCAGTGCCAGCGCTTAGTGTGACTTGCCGATCTCCCGATTTGAACTCCATAACTCCGGTTCGGTAGTCGGTGGTCACCTTGCCTAATCCTTCGAGCCATTGTACTCCTAGAACGACGTCAGGTCCGACCAGGGGTAAAGCATAAAGATCAGCCTTCACCGTAACCCCATGGAACTTGATCGGCACCTTCCGAAACGACTCAGTGCATTGCAGCCTCTCACCATTAGCTACCCGAACTTCAAAGGGTTCAATTTTCGTGGTTGGTAGCTTCACTGCTTCAGCTTCTGAGACAAGTCATCATTGATGAAGTTATGTGATGACCCATTGTCTACGAGCACGATCACCCTACGATCTTTGACCCAAGCTGGTAATCGCATCGTTCTTGGCCCTCTAATACCAGCCATTGCGTGCATGGAGATTTCAGTCTCCTCTTTGAGCACTACATCCTCGTCTTCTTGATGTGATTCCTCCTCGACCTCAGATTCTTCTTCATCAGAATTAGCAACTTCTATCACAAAAGCCTGCTTACATTGATGGCCTGGTGTAAACTTTTCTTCGCATTTAAAACAAAGGCCATTCTCACGCCGGCGCTTGACTTCCTCAGGGGAAAGTCGCTTGACTACTGGCCCTGCCGGCCGAGCGCTGACGGTTGGTCGCGCGCTTGCCGTTGATTGGTTCGGTCCTGCGCGTCGTGTGTCTGAGAAGCGGACATTCGCCCGTCCCCTTCGCGTGACTGCCAGATGACCCTCGTGGCATCGGGCTACCTCCATGGCTGCGTGCATTGTGTCTGGCCGCTCCAGTCGAACCTCTGCGGCTAGATCGAACTTCAGCCCACCTATGAAAGCTCCCACCAGTGCATCCTCGGGCCAATCTCGCACGCGTCATGCTAGACGCTCGAACTCCTTGATGTACTCGCGCAAGCTGCCCGTCTGACGTATTCGTGCGAGAGCCTCGTTGTAATTGTGGTAATCGGATGTGCCAAAGTGCGTGAGCAACTCTTTCTCAAAGTCGGACCATGTGATGGCCTGCTGTCGTTTGCGGTAGATCCTCGTGAGCCATTGCCACCATACATTGGCCTCACCATCAAGATAATAGGCTGCGTACCTTACACGATCTGGGCCGTCCATCTCGTTGAGCTTAAAATATTGCATCGCCCGGTTGAGCCATGCATCTGGATTGCTGCCGGTGAACGTAGATAACGTGATGCAGGGTTTGTCAGTCTTTGGGCGCTCGCGATAATTGGACGCCTGTGACTGCCGGTCGAACTCGTCCTCGCATTCGTACTCCTCACGTCGGTGTTTCTCTCCTTCGGCCCGCTCGCGGTCACGGTGTCGTGCGTGCTCTTGTTGCCGCGGTGATAGTAGGCGTGCGAGCACGTTGCGTGCCATCTCGTCGAAGCGCCTGTTCACGGTTTCCATCAAATCTTGCACCGTTGTCTTCGTATTGTCGAGCCCTTCTCCTAGCGTGTCGATGGCTTCGCTAATACCACGGAATTGGACATCGAGATTATCGATCTTATCCTTCATCTCTTTGTTGGCTATGGCTTTCTTTTCCTCTCTTCGCTCTTTGCTTTGCGGACTCGTGTTGGAGGATTTTTTTTTTTTTTGAATAAGTCGAACGAAAATAAGGGGGAAAAAGAAAAGGGAATGGGTTGGGAAAAAGACACACGATCTAACACCTCTCAATGAAAGCACCAATGATGAAGATCGCGTGTCCCGACTGCCGATAAGCCGCTAACCCGCGCCTTGAATCGCCGATAGGTGTTCTTCGAGCCACAACCGCGCCTCTTGGAACGAATAAAATTGCAATAGAATTTTGGTAGAAAACTAAAGCAAAGTGGAAGAACAAAAGTTCAGATTTCTATTCATAAAATTGATGATAAAAAATAACATGTGGAATGACCTTTATATAGGCACCAATTATATCTAGTCCTAATCTACCTAGGGAACTAATAAAGCAATAAATTATTAAGTATCCTAATTAAGCTAGAAATCATAAAGCAATAAGGGAACAAAGTAACTTGGCTTGCAATCTAAGTTATCCTCTCTCTCTCCCTCTCTCTCTCTCTCTCGGCCCCTCACGCGACCGCCCTACCCGCGCGCCGCCTTTCGCGTGTGTACTGTCGCCCAGCGTGGGGCGCACGCCAAGGCCTTCGACCGCCTCTCCCTGTGCGTCGCGCCTCGCCTGTCTTATTTCCTCGAGGCGTAAGGTTTCGTGCCCAACGCGTGCCTGCTCGCTATGCGCGCTTCGCGCACCCCGCTCCTCTGTCCCTGTCGCGCGCGCGTCTCCGCCAGTCGCCCGTGCCACTACTGCGCCTACCGCTCGCGCGCCCGCGCGCGGCCTATTTTCACTTGCCCCGCGCGCACTACACTCCAGTGCGCGCACTTCTGCCGTCTCCCGCGCCTGCCTTTTGTGTGCATGGTAGGCACAACTTGCGGGCGTTCTTGAACTGCCTTGCCACTTCCGCATCAACCCTTCCCGACATATTGCAGGTCGTCGGAGCTCCAGGCTGGTGAAGGTTCGTAATTCGCGGTTCAACACTTTGCATATGAGATTATAATTGTCCATTTAAGGGCATTCATATTTGAACCCGATTGTAATATTGTTACTCATTCTTAAATGATATGAATAAATTACTGCGTTCACTAAAATCATAAGAATACATGGAACCCAGTCAATTAAGTCCAATTAGTTGTATCTTATTTTCTATATCCTTCAAATCTTACAATTCAATCAGTATCTTCTGTTAGTTAAAAGGTCTATCCTTCTGCAATCCAAGTGCTTAGGGAGTCCATACGTTTAAGCATAGACGTGAAGTATGTTGAACAAGAGCTTGAATTATTATTATTGTTGTTTCATTAATCACATGTACAAATAAAAAGAAAACCCAGACACCATAAAGCAAGTGGAAGTAGACATGACCATGGGCCAGCCCGGCCCGCAACCGACCAGTAAGTTGCTAGTTCCGAGATCGTCACCATAGCTTTACGTGTCGTTTTCGAGTCGGTACTTCTATTTTTGGTCCCGACGGGCTGAGACCGGGTCGGGACTGGGCCAGTTCACGGGCCTGGCCCTTGGTTTTTGACGAGCCGATTAAGGGTCAATCATGGGTCGGGCCGAGCCGTGGCCCGGCCTGTTTACTGGCCATCTTAAGTGGAAGTGTGGGAAATGGGACTATGGGACTACCCTATAGTCTAATTGGATAAACTTGAAGAAGGAAGGGGCCACATTTGTCCAATGTTTTTTAAAAAATCAACGGCCAAAGAACATTAATTTAATCGAAGAACTCAAATATTGATAAGGATATAATGTGTAAAAAAAAATGAAGTGTGGATCAACTTTTACACAAACAGACAACCAATCCAAAGCGGTGAGATGATACCAGCGTCGTTTGAGTCCACGTCAACACTCATTACAAAAATGGTGCCCTTTTTTTTATTTTATTTATTTTATTTTAGCTTTATCTCATGCAAGCCGAAGGAATAATGGAATATGCACGGAATTAATACGCACAGACACTTACATCACACCGCACCAACTCTTTTTTTTTTTCCCCTTTTTTTCCTTGTTTTGTTGTTTATTTTTTTGCGAGAATGATTGGAATCTGAATCGAAGTGCTCATTCTTTTCGAGTTGCAGCGTTTGTTTTCTTTTCTTTTTCTTTTTTTTTTTTTTGTGGTGGGTTTTAAAGTGAGGTAATAATTAACTGATGGGAGATAGCGAGAGCTGCAGCAGCCGGCAATCTGAGTGGTCGCCGGTCCAAAGCCGGAAAACGAGGCAGAAAGTCGAGGTTTTTAATGAAGTATTGACCAGATTGAGGGAATTGGATGTTGAAGAGGCTAATGAACCGGGTTTTGAAGATGAGTTGTGGGCTCATTTTAGCATGCTTCCTCTTCGGTAATTTTCTTGTTTTCTCTGTTTTTTTTTTTTCCTTTTTTGAACTGATGATCCGTGAAATAATCTTGTTTTCTTGTCGGCCCATTTGATTGACTCCTGTTGTCGGAAAAAAGGGTATTTGTAAAATTTAATGTCAGGTAATTAAAGAGAAAGGAGGAATACATCATGCCTTTGTTCAGACCATCAAGGATCAGAAGTTTGGACTTAGTGTTTTTTTGAGAAAATTGGAGTAGACACTTGAGTATTATTATGACCTCGGCTTAGTTCTTTCTTCACTGGATTTTTCAGAAAGATCTAATTGAAACTGTTGAATATGTTCCTAAATTGTCTTTTGTAATAGAGATGTACAAAAAGAACTGTTTCTTGGTTTGTCATATACCCGTATGTTATTGTGGCTTTTCAGTTATGCTTTGGACGTGAACACTGAACGAGCAGAGGATGTGCTGATGCACAAGAAATTGCTGAACTTGGCCCGTGATCCTCTCACTAGACCTGCTGTTGATGTTCACTTTGTGCAGGTGCATCTTGGACATATTATATGATCTTTGGTTATGTTAGTAGTGATCGTGACAGGTTTCAGTCGCTGAAGATGGTTCACATATGGTTATACTATTAGAGTTTCCATGTTAGCAGCTTATCAAGAATTGCTTTGATTCTGTTGTCCTGTTGATATTTTCACATGAGTTTTACTGAACGTTCGGAGTTACCAATTGGAATTACAGTGTATTCTCATATATCGATGTTATACATCAAACTTGAGTCTCGTATAAAATTTGATTCACTATTTTAGCAGATTTTGCGGTGTGAAATAGAAGTTAGTGGGAGAGTATCAAGAGCATGGTTAGATACTACTTAGCAAGAACTCAATTGCTAAAACAGGAATTAAGAATATTTGTAGTTGTGCCACCAGCATTGATTCTTAAATAACACGTCTTAGCACCAAAGCTATTCAGTTGCGTTTTCTTTAGGCCCCCCAGTTCAGTTGACAATTCAATATTGATAATTATTCTTTCATGCAGGTTCGCCCAACCATTGATGGAAATGGTGATTCTATTAGTACAAGGGGCGTTGAAGAAGGAGATGCTTTCCAGCTGGATAGGTAATTTTTTTTTATTTTTTTTAGGCCTAGAAAAGACGTGAAAAACATGACATAATGTCTGAAATTCATATTTAGGTCTCCTTGTTGGTTTCTAATTTGCAGTCTACACCCACCGCCTGCATTTGGACTGTCGTCAAATTATGAACTTGCACTTGAGGGAAGTAGCTCTGATCCTAACGAGGCAAATAACTATTTGAGTAGGAAATTACACTTTTTGCGGTAATATTTCTGAAAGGTTTGATTCTGCTTAAGCTTTTGTACTTTGTTGTTGAATCTCTTTTGTATGTTATTCTTGTTTCATGCGGCTATCATCATAGTAGGATGAAATATCGGTGATTTTTTTTTTCCCATATTTCTTCTGAACTTCTGGCAGGCCACTTCATGAGATAGCAATTTCGACAAAGGACAAACCTAAGCTCCTTAGCAAGGTAATGCTTCTTTGTTTCGAGAATAATATATTTAAGTGCCTCTTGAATCCCTGTTTGAGAAAATGATGTTCAAATTAAGAAAATACGTAATTGACTGAAATTAAGGAGATGGATTTATAGCTGAATTCCTTGTCTGGAAAAAGCACGTGCCGCTAGTTGTTCGTGAATGAATACATAACATCTTTCCATAAGCGCTTTGCGTAATTTTCTCTAGTTTTATGTGGTGGAGCTCGATTATGCTGAGAGTTGGTGTATGATTGAAATATATAACTGATGAGGTCTTGTTTTGATTAATCTCAGTTGACTTGCCTGTTGTCTGAAATTGGATTGAACATTCGAGAAGCTCATGCTTTTTGCACTATTGACGGTTATTCGTTGGATGTATTTGTGGTTGATAGTTGGGGAAAGGTACTTACAATCCTCTTCTAATAAGAGATTACACACTATCCACTAAGACTGCGTTATTCTGACCTCTCTTGGAGGGAATATTAACACGTTTTACTATTTCAGCCAAATAATCATCCAATGCGTGAATGTACAGTTTGAACGATACACTTTTGTATTTATAAGCTACCACTAGTGATTGTTGATTTGCGATCGCACTACAAATTCTCAGGGTATTGAGCATCTCAGAGATATATTGATAAAGGAAGTTCCAAATATTGAGGTAACTACAGGCATAACCGTGTCTATTCCTCACTCATTTCCCGTCTGTTTTGTGAGCTTTTGTAATCCCTTTAAAAATTAATAACCGAAAAAGGATAGGGATGTTGCCAATTCCTAATTCTACTTCTGATTGTTGTGTAGTTTTACTTTTATTTTGTTCAATTCTATTTGCAAAACACTTGTTTGATTCTTCAAACGTTTAGCAAGCACTCCATTAATCTTTCTCTGAAAATCGAATTTGCTGCACAGATGCTGTCATTGTCTAAACAGGAGCAGATGTGTCCAGCTGGAGGGCAGGGGCAAATTGATTTTCTATTACCACCAAACCATGTTAAAATTCCTTTTGATGGTAGTGATGTATGGGAAATCGATGCGAAATTGCTGAAATTTGAATACAAAATTGCTTCAGGATCAAATGGAGACTTGTGAGTTTCATCTCATTATTATTATTATTATTATTATTGACTTCCCCATTAATTGTATGAAGTCACATCTAATTTTAAACATAAATACAGGTACAAAGGCTTGTTCTGTAGTCAAGACGTGGCCATCAAAATTCTTAAAACCGAGTGCATTAGTGGAGACGTGCAGCGAGAGTTCGCCCAAGAAGTCTACATATTGAGGTAAAATTATAGCATTCATCGTTGCATGCAAGTAAAT